GGAGGGAATAAATAAACATACACACACACCTCTCTACATACACATACTCTTTAAGTTTTATTGTACTGCTGTTCAACCTGATTTCCTATATTCTCCTTATTATAAGTTAGGAGAAAACTAGTTGGCTTTGCTGTAGTATGCCCTGGAGAAATTTCAGATCAAATACTGGGAGATAATAAGCTGCCAGTGACGTCGGTGGCAGAAGCAGGCGTTCAGGACTCCTTAGCATATGGCCTTTAGCATGGAGGTAATTGCTGTCTGGGATGATCTTGCCATACTGGGGGAAGAGATGAGGAGAAAGGAATGATACAATAGGTTCATTGCCTAAAAAAACCAGTTTCTTAAGGCAAATATATATGCTTCCTGTTTTAGCTGGCTATTTTGCAAATTATCCATCAAATGAATGGTTTTTAGTGTTGCTATTTCCTTCAGAGATATTTTATCTTTGGGAAAAAGGCTCATTCACCTTTCAGGCTAAAAACAGCAAGAAAGGTCACTTACCATTCTTCATTGGATTAGCTCCATCTCAAACATATTGATTAGTCCTGTTTGTAGGACACCCTGTGAACTTCAATCAGCAGGCAGCTTATTCTTGCACAGAGAGGGCTGTTTATTGTATTAACTGTTTATGGTTTTGTGTAGACAAGGGGGAAGTTTAGCAGAAAAATAAAATGCATGCCTAATATTTGTTCTATAACTTCAATCTAGCATTATTGAAGTATTCTCAAGTATCTATTCAAATATGTATTATAAAAAGACATAATTTATGGCAACCTAGACCAAATACATATGGTAAGGAAATTTGATTTCTTCCGAGCACCCAAGTTATAGTTTTTAAATTCTCTGCTACCTAGACTGTGAAAAACAGCAGGGGTCTCATACTTATCCTCTCTCTGAATATGAAGGGATTGCAGTATAGCATTTTTATAACCCAGCAGAGCAAAATCTGCCAGCTTCCCTCTTCTCTGCAACTATTAAAAGGCACAAGATATCTGAACACCATTGAACCTGGTCATTTATTCATTCCACTACTGTCTGGCTCTCACAGCTTAGTTCATTGTATATGGAAACCAACCCAGAATGCTATTAACTTACATTTCAGGACATTGTCAGAATCACTGAGTCAGTTCTTTCACTGTCCTGATCTATTTGCATTAAAGGTAAAGGTATTCCCCATTGACAAGGTTGTCAAGTCGTGTCTGACTGTAGGGGGTGGTGCTCATCTCTATTACTAATCTCCGAAGAGTCAGTATTGTCAGAGACTACTCTGTGATCATGTGGCCAGCATGACTGCAGAGAATGCTGTTTACCTTCCCACCGAAGTGGTACCTATTTATCTACTTGCATTTGCATGCTTTCAAACTGCTAGATTGGCAGAAGCTAGGACTAGTGACGGGAGCTCACCCCATCATGCAGCACCTGGGCCTCGAACTGCCAACCTGCTGATCTTGCAGTCAACAGAGTCAGTGTCTTAACCACTTGCACTATTTTCATTAAAAGGATGATAATCTTTGCTCCTATTCACACTGTGAAACTCCTCCCAAGAATCAAATATTTAGAAACACAACTGTCAAAAGAAGAGTTAGGGCCTTTGCAGACTGCCAGAAATAGTGCAAATTGAGT